TGATGTCCAAGTCTTCCACTACTTGATTTCGTATTCAATTCCAAGTTGGCAACCAATGTTTAATTGTGACTTGTGGTTTTGGTTATTAGATATTTAATGTTGTTAAGTACATTCAGGCATTATGATTTCTAATGAATCATTGCAGGATTTGATGTTGTTAAGCACATTCAGGCATTATGATTTCTAATGAATCATTGCAAGTTTTTGATGTTGTTAAGTACATATATGCTATATTGTTCAAATGTAACTTAGGAATGATCCTATAGATTCATTTGGAATATAGACGTTAGGTGGCATGACCCACTTTAGTTGTTTTTGTGTTTTAGATTTCAAGTTGATTACTTTGAAAATCTATATCTTGTTGCTTGGTATAACATGTTTTTATGTTGATGAAATTGCATGGGTGATGTGATTTATACTAGAAATGATCTAGGGTAGCTTAGGATGCTCCCTGAGTCTCATCTTGACATAGACGTTAGGTGGCATGAGCCCCTTTGACATGTTTCACCTAAAGGTGATAAAATTATAAAATGCTAGGTCGATGCATGCTAATTTCCTATGAGTAGCTTTATGTTACTCACCCACGTAGTGGGGACATTTTTCAGGTACAGGAATCAAGGTTGAGATTCTCGTTATGCTTGGATGATTTGTGGACTTGAAGGTTCCATTCTTGTAAAGGTTGGCTAGGAATGCCATTTGTAGCCTTATTTGTCAAATGTGTATATTTGATTCTAAACTTGTAATGTGTGCCTAAGCACATTTTTTTATTCTCATTTTATGTATATGATATGAGGTCAAGGGTCAAACCATATTTGAAATTCATGTATATTCATAAATGTTGAAAATTGCCTTAATGAGAATATTATGAAAATGATGAGTTTTAATATGTCATTTATACACCGGAGTGTGCATTGGGTATGAAATTCATTATCTAGTATTCATTTAATATGTATGAGGTGTGGCCAAGGGCCAATCATCATTTTGTTTTCATTTTTGCATTTTAGTTTCATACTTTGCATTTTGAGCTAAAATAGTAAAATTCGAGCCTTTAAGGGTTCATTTCCAAATCGGGTGATGCAAAGTGTGCACGAGCACATTCATTAGGACCTACTTAATATGCATGAAGTGTGGCCAAGGGCTAAACGGTAATTTGAAATCATTTGTTAATTTTAGTTTTCAAATTCTCTATTTCTAGTTCATTTTTGCATTTTGGCCCGGGGGGGGTCGAATTTTGGATCGGTGATATTTTTAAGCCGTGGACCATTGTAGCACGTCCTAATGGGTAAGTTACATTTGTGTGCATGATAGTTTTCAAGAAAAACCTCATCCTTAGTGATTTGAGTCTCCTATGGACTCATTTTACATTTTTATTGCATAATATGATTTTAGAGCATTTTGAGGTTTTCCTTTGAGAAATAAATTTCGGTTTTTACATGGTCACTTACAAAACGTGATTTTAGGGGAGTTTTCTTCTTCGTGTTTTTTTTCAGAAAATGTCATCTTGGTACCGAAAATCTCTCGTGAAATTTAGCTTTCAGTTTTGCATTTCAGCAGCTTTCTAGCCCTCTTGATCAGATTTCTTGAAGGGGCATTTTGGCCATTTCATAGTATTTTTTTTTCATTTTCTCCTGCATTTATGGATAGAAAATTTGATTTCGGGAGGGGTTTCTTTTTTGTGTTTTTCCAGAAAAATTCGTTTGATAGCCCGTTTCTACTCTCAGATCAGGACAGTTACTGTAGCAACTTTTGCCCTCTTGTCTAGTTTTGATCTAGGGGCATTTTGGGGATTTTATAGTGTGTTTTTTTTCATTTCCTTTATATAGTTGGGTAGAAAACTCGATTTTAAGGGTGGGTTTCTCCTTTGTGTTTTTCCAGAAAATGTCATCTCGGACCCGAAAACCCCGCGTCAAATCTGATTTCCTGTGTATATCTGCACGATTTGAAAAAGTCTGTTGTAAGAGCATTTTGGAGCTTTCACGTCAAAAATAAAATTTTCTTTCAATATGGTTAGCTTGGAAAAATTATTTTGAGAGGGGTTTCTTCTTCGTGTTTTTTCAAAAAACGTCGTTTAGTCCCTCAAAATGGCACACGATTTCAGCATTTTGCCTAGGTTATTATTCACGGCCGCGGTGACGTCAAAACTTTGTTTTGACTTTTATCTTCCATCCGGACTCCGAATCAAGTCATTCTTGAATCTAACTTGATTAATTTTTCACTGTCTTCCCAGTGGTATGCTCGGTAGCACCCGATTTTATATTTTAAGAAATGACCATTTTGCCCTTGGGGCTATTTTTGTCCGGTTTTCTTGTAATTCACTTCCGCTACTTTCTTTTGAGTTCCGTGACTTCACGAGAAGTCATGAATGTGTCTCAGAAATAATATACATTCTAGGGACGTCATTTTTATGTAAAATGACTATTTTACCCTTGGGAGCTTATTTGTCATATTTTCGATCTTTTTCTTCCGCATCAGTTCTCATTAAGTTCCGCGATCTCATGGAAGGTCACTTTGACTTCTTAGAGTCTTGTTTTCTGTTTTCGCTTTTGCATTTGGATCCGTTATCGGGTCAATCTTCAGTTCATCACAGAACGCACTGACTTGAAAAACCAGGGCCGTCACAGGTGTTATGGGAATTTTAGTAAAATTTATACATGACGTCAGCACATTCCATCCTTGACTAACGTTGACTCTAACAGAAGGGAGGTCTGTGTAGGATATTTTCATTATTATTATTATTATTATTTTGATAAGTGTAGGATATTTTCATTATTAGGGGAGGTCCGAGTAAATTCCCAAACCAAAGAGGAGGTCCGTGTAATTATGGTAAATCATAGGAGAGGTCTGTGTAAATTACCCAAAAAATAAATATGTTTTTTTAATTTTTTTACTTAAAAATATTAAATATATACAAAATAATAAAATAATAAACAGTGGTTAGCCCATACTGTAGTTTTCGGCCAGCAAAACACTATAGCTAGCCACATTAGCATAATAACAATCCACATACACATTGCCAGCCGACTGCCCTAAACCTTCATCTAGTTTATGTTATCTTTTCATATGTATTATATATAATCATTTACTATTGATAAGAGCACCTCCAATGGGGCTGAATGAAGAATACCACATCAGATCTGAGTGGAGAATACCACTAATAATTTAAACTTTTGAATCATATAACAAACACTTAATTCGTTAGTAGTGATATTAGAACAAATCTAATCCTTAATTCTATGTCACCCGTGGACATAATTGAGTTCGTGTGTGGGTCATTACTAGGTCCTCTTTCGTTAGCATGAACATGTATCCTGACATGACATGAGTCACATGACATGTTAGATGAATAATTTAGTTTTTATGGTGGTGTTTAGTGAGTAGGTTGCATGAAACAGAGTTTACCGACTGTGGGGATGTATGGAAAGTGGAACCTACAAACAGAGTAATAAAGATGGGATTGATTATACCCATCATAGGACCCGTGATGGCTATCCCAATAATATCTACTGTTGCCATTATTATTATAATGTGAGGGAATTTGTGATGATACCATAATGGCCATATTCTTCCCTTCTTTATAATGTGAGACTTTTATTTATTAGGTCAGAGCAGAAGGTCAGACCAACACTTTTCATAAAGACTGACCAATAAAATATGACTTTCCGCAAAAGTCCTTTTTCAACTATTATAACCCATGCACATGAAATAATAATTTCATAATGTATGCTTCTGCTGATTTTTACACGATTCACCTTTTTTTATTTTTTTATTTTTCTCTTACATGATTCACCTTGAAAGACCCAAAGACTTGTTAGGTTTCATTCTGTGGAAGATTTGGTTTAGGTTCAGTTCCTTAACGAATATTTTTTAAAATTTTATATTTTAATAGCATACCTAGGATTTTCAAATAGTGAAAACAGTGCGCAATAGTTTTTTTGCGGAGTTTGAGAAAGACCACATGCATACAACCTTATTTCAATTGGTTTGGGCGTTGATTAGCAAATGGAGATGTGCTTTTAAAGTAGATTTAGAGATCTTGAATTTTTTTTGGATGGGATAATTTGGAGGGATATGAAAAGAAGAAAAAAATAATAGGTCTTAAGTATGTTTGGATGATTTAAAAAGAAAGAAAAGAAAAGATAGGGAGAGATATATTCCTCCTTAACTCTCAAAAAAAGAGAAGATAGGGAGAGAAATAATAGTGTTTGATAGTATTTTCATAATTCTGAAATTGCCATCAATAATTAAAACAAAAAAATTATTATTCTACTCATATCCTTTTATTTAAAAGAATGCGATAGTAATTTGATTGTTATCATTTTTCTATTGATTTTGGCCAATGAGATTACTTAGATTGCAACTTCCAATCTTTGGAAATTGGAATTGTTAGCCTTAAATCCATTCAGCTAACGAGATCGTTAGTCTTCTACAAAATGGTTTGTTGAACTTTAGGTCCAAAGATTCAATCATTTATGTACAATTTGATTGTCAAACCCACTACAATAGTAGTTCCTTTCAATTTTGATTGTTAAACCCATTCTTACGAGTGCCTTTCAGATTTTGTCCACTAAAATATTTAAAACAATACAATCCAAGGAAGATTCAGATATTTTTTTTTTAATGAGGTTATTCATAACGGAGTTAGTCTTGCAGTAACCAAATCTTAAATTTTTTATTTTTATAAACAAATCTTCAAAATATAACGGATAAAACATAAGACTAGAGTATAACACGCTACTACGAACACAAAAAATACTAATTTTAGAATAAAAAAACTCAGATGCAACCAAGACGTGTGAAAAATTAAGTGTAATATATAAATATTATTTATATATATAAAACGAATTTTGTTCATTTTATCTACATTGATGAAATCACTAATTTGGAACTTAAGTGTTGGGTTTTTTCTTCTAAAATTTTATATTATTGTTTTAATTAACCCACAATATATTTTGAAATTGCATTGAAAACACATCTTCTGCCTTGAAAGTGTTTCAAACATGTCCAGCTTAAAATAATAATAAATTCAGAACAACTTCTAATCGTATCACACACATGTTTAAATTGTTGTTTTACATAACTAGGCTGCTTTCAAGGTAGAAACAATATTCTCACTATTAAACTTTTGCTAACATTTTCTATTACACCAAGTAAGGACTCCGAAAAAAAAAAAATAATTAAAAAAAAAATAATTAAAAAACAGAGAGAGAATAAGGAACCATCACAAAAGTACTCCTAAAGTCATAAGACTGCCTTCTTGTACTTCAAAACATTAAGTTCAAGGACAAGAACTTCCATGGTATGCATTTAATGATAAACAAACCATCTTCAATGGACAATAACTGCATTTATGCAAAAAGAAATACTTTGGTAAATATAGAAAAAAGGCATACCATAAACCAGCAGACAGAATGAATTGACAACTGGAAATAGACACACAGCCGACCCCAACACAAGGGTGAGCAGCTAGTCACCGGTGGTAGCCCTAGGAAGCACGGACACTCTATAACGGAGCTATCCACCTGTTGGATACCGGAACTTTATGGCCACTCCTTGGACACATGTCCGACAGTTCATGGACGTGTCTATAATTTAAAAACGGACATTTAACTCACTAGCATACACTAATGCCTCTTCATATCGGACAACATCGTAATTGTAATGAAAAAGCCATGAAATAGTTGCATATACGCAATAACAATATTGACATGCCTTCAGCTTGTAAATATTATTTCAAAGTAACTCTTAGCATAAAAATTTGTTAACATTCTATAATAATCTTAATCAATAAACGTATTTAAATAAAAACTAAAATTTTTATGTCCTTGTTTGTGCTTATGCTACTTAGTAGTAGTCATTTCTATTAGTAGAACTAATTTTACAACCAATTTTTAAAATGATATCCCTACAAGTACAAAGAAAGGGTCAACGTCCGAGAAGGGGGAATCTATAATAAGAGAGTGTCGTCTCGTCCTCCTAGTCTTTATTCATCAACTCTAATTGATGCTGCAGAGACATTTTTTATTGGGGTCTGCGTGGGTTTAACTTGGAAGCCAAAAAGTAATTCTGGTCAAATTTTTATTACTTCATATATTGAAATAATTTTTGAAGTTTTATGAAAATTTATGATACTGATGTAGTTATCATATTTCATTAGACTGATATAATGAAAGCACATCTAGAAATTGTTATAAAATTAACTAGAGTGTTCTCCAGCATGAACAATGGAAAAAGTTTAATAACCGTTATCAGGTCCGGAAATAAGTAGCAACCCAACAAATGACAGGACCGAACCATTAACTCAAAAATATAACAAAGAGAACACCTTATGCTTGTTGGTGTGTGCATCTTATGATACTGGATCTGCGTTGTGCCATCCCTTCATGCATGGAGGTATACTCATGAACTCATCAAACTCCTTCACATGAATGTCACAGCATTTCCACTGCAAAATTAAGAACAATAAGAAGCCCGGTATTTGAAATTCAGGAACCAATGAAAAAGAACATATACCAATTAGAAAGAAATGATTGAAAGAGCGATAATAAAATTATTTATAACCAACCCCTCTGTTCCGGTCGTGGAATACAGCAGGCCCGGGATGGTAACTGCATGCTGCGTCATGATTATCCTTTTCTTTGAAAGTTTTACCACATCCTTTGTTTCTACAGGTTTGGGGCTGGTTTATATCAATTATCTTCTTTGGTGGAGCGGGAACACTTTCCTGTACATTTGGAGTGCTTTCAGTGGGAATAACAGCCACTACATTTGATGCTTTTGGAGTCATTTCTCTGGCTTGTGAACCTAAAAACATATCACCTAAGTTAACCTACAAATCAATAAATACTTTCATCTACGATTTGTAAAGTGAAAAACAAAGCAGCTTAAGAATGGGAAGTTGTTATTGAACTTTTTAACTAATTGGGATATGAGGAAACTAGAACCTCCACTAACCCAAGAATACAACTAATTTGGCAATTAATTGGGAAATGAAAAGTTCGTGTTAAATTTATCAGAAACCAATAAAAGAGAAATCAAAAGATCCAATTAATTTTCCTTCATTGACCATTCTTCCACCAACCAAAGATTACATTACATGGGCTCGCCCATTCCCCTCAACGTACCTTTTTGACATGATACGACATGGGTATAGGATATGTTTCCAGCACACTTACCAAAATTGAACACCAGATCCTCTACTTATGATAGATGAAACAAGAAAAACACAAATTTGATAGCAAAGAAGAGTTTCATACTTCCAATATAAGATTAAATCCCTTCTCTTAAGCACACCCCATTTAATTTAATTGTAAATAAATATATTTTAAATAACTATAATATATATATATATAAAAATCTTTTTTGATAAGTAAAGGTATATTAGAAAGCGTTCAAAAGGGGAACGCATCCCAAAAGCTATACAAGGGCCGAAGCCAAAGAGAGGGTCCTAGTGACCCAATGCATCCAAAAAATCCACAATTTAACGGGCATCGCACTGGGTAATGACCATTACTTTATCATGCTTCATACTATTATATATATAGTAACATTATGCATTTATATGTGCAGAAAATACCCACCTTCTCATATGGACACATTTAATCCAAATCCCCATGTCTAAAGACTTGAGATTTAGGAAAAATGAAACAACCAAAGCTGGAATGAATTCAGATTGTACTTAACTGCATTTGATAAGATTATATTGCATTATGCAAATGAACATTTTTTAGACTGTTAATAAATGACATCAGTTTCATTCTGAAACACAACTCATGGTGAGTGGTTGGTGGGTGTGGGGGGGGAGACGAGCAACAATTTCACATCCTGGAATCATCCGACAATTACATCTTAAGATGGTGAAAATTACAGATAAAACAATTTCACATCCTGGAATCATCCGACAATTACATCTTAAGATGGTGAAAATTACAGAAAAAAGGAATCACTGTTGCCATGTTCTTATGAAAGAAAGAGAACTTAAATAAGAAGAATACCGTGTTTTGAGCAAAAGAATCCCTGGCGGCACCTAGAGCAAGCTTCTGTCAACGATGAATCAGTTGTATTTGCTGGTGCATAAGTTTTCTTTGGAGGAGCAACTGCCTTTGCTAGTACAGGCTTTTCAGTTGTGTGTTTACCTGTCTTACATCTTCATCAATACAAGAAAACAGAGAAACTGATACTGAGAAATTTAGATAGATAATCAATTAAAGAATTTTTTTTTTTTTTAAAAAAAAAACTTTCCATGATTAAAGTCCTATATTCATGCAAAAGTTATCAGGACCCCTTCTTTTCTTTTTCTTTTTCTTTTTCTAATTTTATTTTTTTTCTACTGTAGGCGTGCTTCAAACAGGGTGACAATTTTTCATTCAAAGTACACCATGAATTTCATTCCCTAATTTTAAACTAATACTCAAGTGTCATCATTAAAGAAAAGAGGAATGCACTTCTCAAAGAACTACTATAAGCATGCAAAAGGTTTCAATATTATGCCCCAGTCTGACAACTTCAGTATATCTGTTTGAAAGAATCAAAGCAAGGAGCATATCAAATGCAATCAAACAAGAGCAATTCAATCAAGCAAAGCTGAAGATATAGGATTGAACAACTATGAAGAAGTGGATCTGTCGACAGTAGCAGCAAAAAATTGAGTGAAGGTGGAGAGCAAGTCACTAAATCAAGAGTTAATTAGGAGATTCAATGGTGGAATTTTGGTTCACCTGGTTGTAAACTTCTTGCTCATAATAGATTGTTCATGATTGGACAAAGTCATGTAGTATTTAACCCCCAAGGGGTTGGCTCAAGTGGGTAAGTGTTACAAGGGGAGCCTTGTCCCACATTGGATCCGGTTGGGAAGTGAAATGGGCATATATGGATTGAGTGTTAGCCACACCTAATAACTTAAGCTTTTGGATTGGATCGCTAAGCGGTAAGCACCCACCCGTTCTAGTAAGTCACTTGGCTTTGGTGCCTTAGGAAGCATCAAGTCTAAGGTTCCGCAAAAGCCTAAACTGACACCCCTTGAAGTTTGGTGCGCAATAACTACCACCCCCTCCCATTCACTAGCCATTAGGTCTATAACTTGAATCTCTGTGAAATAAACTATTTACCCCTTGACTGAATAAAAAGACCTCTTTAATCCTAAAGCGTGATGTGAAATGACCAAAGTCTCCAATTAACAATTTTACTAATGATTAATTTTATCCTCACTTACCTCTGTTTCATTCACCACTGCAACCCCTCTCTCTCTTCCTAACCGGCACTGCTGCCACCATGACCACAAAAATCCTAACTCAACCACCATCATCAAAGCCGACTCTGTGCTCAGGGCACAACCCCAAAATGTGGGCGAAAATTTCATCCAGAACACCCCCCAAGTTGTCTGCCAGTCTCCTCAAATGGTCCTAGATCATTGAAAAATGGTGAAAATCTTTCTCTCCATCTTGTGCCACCTCATGCGCCAAGAAGTGGGTCGCTGGGTGTGGGGGGTGTTTAAATGAATGCGGGCAACTTCATTATTTCACAGTAACATATTTTGTAAATAAAAAAGTGTGATTGATTTTATTGAAGAGAAGAATGACATTTCACGCAAAAAGTAACGGACGTTGTTACCCAAACACTGACAAAGGGCTGTCAGTGCAGGTCTTCGCAAAACTGAAATCTACCTACAATGAGACGTCACCTCTTGGTGTAATTTACCCAAAATTCAGATAGTTGCAAATTTAGCATCCACGAGATATTCAACCCCCCTCTCAGTCAAACTGAACAGTGCGTACTTTGACATGTCAAAGCTATAAGCAACGGACCTTGATCCCCCAAAATTTTCACATTCTTCTACGTTCCTGAATATAAAGTTAAGATATTTGTGCAAACAATTATTTACGTATGTTAAAAGATTTTCTTGAATTTGTTTAGGACTGAATTTCTTTTGCAAAATTGTACATGATAGGTGAGCCAAACCTACTTCGACCCCGTGTTGGGCGGGACATGCATGGGAATGAGTCTCCCTTCATGGGAATTGTTTGGCATATGGTTGCTCAATCCCAAACTCAACCCATTGACATTCCTAGAGAAAAGGCATCCGTCTTTTTTTTCTTTCTGATTTTTCTGAAGATACTAAGATAGTCAACTGCCAAGTCATAGATAAAGAAGAGCACCTTCAGAGTGTTATTTATTTATTATTATTATTTATAAGTAGCACCTTCAGAGTTTGTAACTGCTACACTCGCACTTCAATTTTAAGGCTTGAAAGAAGCTGACAGGTTCCACTAGCTTTTATTGATGATATATATAGAGAGAGACATATTTATAGAGTTTTTATTCTTCTTCTTCCCTCCCGCCACGAACACCTTGTGAGAGATTATTTAGTTAGTGCGTGTTTTAAAGACTTTAGACATCCCATTGCACCTGAACCAGTGCAGTAAATTTCAAGCTGATACAAGTTCACTATGTAACGAGATCACATTGTGAGTCAAAAAAAAAAATCAGAAATTCAAGAACTTTCCGATGTAATAGAAAGAACATATTACCAAAAACATATTTATAATAATAAAAATAAATAAACTAAAATAAATCAAGAAGAAGAGCATGTAGACAAATGCTAATGTAAAGGGTAATGGTTTCAAACCTACATGATCACAATCAAAATAAAATTCAACTTAAGGTGCCACATATAAACTATCAAAATGTCTATATCAGAAACAAAAATAGGGTCCCATATTCAATCTACTTTGTGATTTTAGTTTATGAATTATTTTTCTGAAAAGTTAATTTAACATATCAAAATGAAAACTCTCACATTGGGCAACAAGCTTGAAAGAATCTTATATAATTTGTGAAGATATCAGTACATACCCTGGAAGTTCTAGAAATAAGCTGAAATCGTGACTTCTTTTTTTGCAACAACTCCACTCTTTCATCCCGTCATGAAATATAGGCTGTAAAATAAATTCTTCAAGATTAAATTTGGGTATGTGTCAAGAATGATTAGGTGCAATGTAAATAGAGAAAAAAATAATAATAATAAAAAAATAAAAAAAATCCCTTATTAGGAAGTATATAAATGGATGGAGACTTACTCCCTGGTGAAATGGATAGGCCAATCCCGTGAAAATCAAGCCAAATATATGCAAGATGAAAACTTAATTAGTAAAGTGCACAAGAGAAACATCATATTTCAAATTGATTTATCAATCTGTAAGATCATGCACTCGGGAAGAAATGCTAGAATATCTAGAGAATTACATTAATTTGGTAAATATGCAACATTAAAATAGATAGGTAATTATCTACACATTACATAATGTCATATATTCAATAAATTTAAATTCTGTATGATAAAAAGCTTAACAGTAGCTTATGGATTACAATATAGATTCAATACGTGATACAAATATGAAATGTACGATAAGTAAAAATTTAACACAATTACCAAGGAACTTGTGGCCTAGTGCTATCTCCTCTACCTCCCAAAGTGGATGCGAGGGTTCAAGTCCCCATAGGGGCAAATAGGTGCGGTAGTTTCTTGCTAATGAAAAAAATTAAATTAAATTAACACAATTCGATATTTTTTTAAAAAATCAATCATATTATTAAAAAAAGAAAAAATTAAATTTTAGTGACCAAATCTAAACAATATTGCTATACAGTGACGCCAAAGTCAAGAAAAGATGAAAAGTAACTAATTTTGAAACTTAATTGTTAACAAGTGACCATTTGATGGTTTATTACCTAAATATCCTTATTGTAATATATTCTTTTTAATTGGACAAATTTACCCTACACAATAAACCTAATTAAAACACTTGGTATAATATTAAATTGTTATTTAAATAACTACACTTACAATGCTTTACTGGGATCAATGACCTGTTACAGGAAGTTTTGATTGCTGACTTGATTACATGAGTGGTTATATAATGAATAGTACACACATATAGGCATATTCATATACATGTATATAAACACCTGAACCACATATTCACATTTGTTAAAAACCATCTGATTCGTAAGCATCGGCATTAAAATTGTTTTTTTCCTAATTGGTACTCACACACACATGTCTTTTCTGAGACTTGAACCCCTGACCTCCCTTTGAGAGAAGTAAGAGGCTGATACGCCACTGGCCCGTTGGTATCAACATTGAAATTGAAGTTAAATAAAATTGGAAAATTTCCGTTACAACATGATTTTTTTTAATTTTTTTTATGTGTATAATTAAGCTGGCTTAGTACCTTAATCACCATGTCTTTCTTTCTCAAAATTAAATCAACTTTTTATGGAAAAAAAAAAAAAAAACCTAAACTCCTTGTTCAGACACCTGAACCAAGACACAGACTCACACAGTCACGCTGACCACTGGACTAGACAAAGGGCCCGTTTGGCAGCGGCATTAACGCTATTGTAAGCAGAAAAATCAGAAGCAGCTAATTTCTCATCAGGCAAACAGAAAATTTCTTCACCATCGAAAAGAATCCATTAGAATTAATGCATAAACTACAACTTTGTACCATCAACAAAACATAAAATTTATACACCGAACACCAAGATTACCTCTTTTTTATTTTAAGATATCATTACTTTCAGCCAAAAAAAATTAAAAAAAAATAATAAAAAAAAAAATTATGCGCAATACGCCATGAATCTTGGGAAAAATTTACTGTGACCTATCAATTAGGTTAAGAGATCATACACATAAAAGGAAGAAACACCAAATTTGAGAATTAGAAGCCGTAAATCTTGAAACAAATTTCACAAATATATATATCTATAGATTGTGATTAAAGAAGGGACATACCGAATCGTGATATGTACATGAACCTTCGGTGTTATCGTCGTCCGTGAACATGGCGTTGCATCCGATTCTCTGACACCGAAGCTTCGCGACTTCCTCCTCCATTCTCTCTCTCTCTCTCTACTTTCTCTCTCTACACTGTTTAGTCTTTACTCGTCCAAGACACCAACCCAACTGTACGCACCGCTTTTTAGTTCAGTTCCGAATATGGTTTGTGTTATTTTCTACTCACAATAGGATTGGTCTTAGATTCGCACCGTCTTTTCTACAAGTTGACGTGTCAATATCCTGACCGTTTATCTGTTTACTGAAATACAGAATTTTAAGATTAGAAGGAATTTTGATAACCTACAAACTTATAAATAATAAATAGTAGTAATAAACGGGCCCTGGAAGATGTTGATCTAGGGCTGTGGTGTTATCTGGTAACGAGAGAGAAGAGCAGAGAATCCTACGTCAATAGGGAAGGACAAATATAATATTAAACAATATTTTGTATGGTTTAAGGACTGTTGAATATTTTTATTTTAGAAAAATTAGAGAGTGGAGTGTTAAAGGAGTTTGGTGTAGCGTGAATATCGAAAATTCAAGTTAAAAAAGAAGAAGATTTTTTTGTTTCTATTTTTTTAAAAAAAAATTTGTCTTTTATAGTTGTCTCAATTTAAGACTTTTTTTTTTTTTTTTTTTTGTTAATCAGAACTACTTTTAAAAAACTGGACCAAGTAAATCGATTAATTTTTTTATCACTGCACCGAAAATATAATTTTAGGATTAGAAGGAAAATATTTAGGCCATTTTTGGTTGATAACAGTTTTTTATTTTTTAATAACTAAAAAATTAAATTGTACAAAAATTTATTTGGTTGGTAATTTCTGAAAACCCAATTAATAAAAGGTATAATAATTGTTCAGGGTCCTTTAAAACAATTTTTATTTTATTTTTTATTTTTATTTTTTTTATAGAGTTTTTGATAGTTATTTTTGAAAAAATTGAACAAAACAAATTCTTTTTTTTTTTTTTTTCTTTTTCTTTCTTTCTTTTTTCGAGAGTGAGGTGAAGCCATGCTTGGTTGGTTATAAATACACAAAGTCTTTAGATTAGGTGGTATTTTTTTGCTAATTTATAAATATATTTTCTCCACAGTTGTACGCAATTTTTCATTCATTACTCAGGGCATTCTATTTAGTTTGTTACATGGATTTTCTAGGGAGCTTAATGGGTCAAGATATTGCACACTACTCTCGCAATGAATGAAAAAAAAAAAAAAACAAAAACAAAGTTGAAAAAAATGCATACAAATGTTATACATTCCTTGTGCCTTAGAAGTTGAAATTTGAAAAAGATTGATAATGTGTTGATGGATGTTTATCTAGTGTGTGAGAGAATGGAAAGTAAGTCGTATAGATGGATAATGGTTCACTTTTAAAGAACGCTAGACGTTGATTATTATTTGATTCGTTAATTCAAACTTCGAGTGGGGGACCATTGATGTTGAGCATGATGTCGGGAAGAAGTAAGTTGTTGTTGGGTAGGCATTTTTTCACATACTTCTTGTAATTCTCTTCATAATGATAGTTGGGATATTCTTTGATGTTTCACAAGGGATAAAAGAGCTAAGTGCAGAAAGTTTGCACAATTTTTGATGTATGTGGTTATCATCTATAGAAACCCTCACAAGACTATAACTCCTCCAGTAGGAATAACTTAGGAGTTTAAAGATATATTGTATACGCTAAATGCAATCGTTTCTCCCACAAAAGGGGAAGTTAGTTTACTTATTTAATTTTAGTTTTTAGTTTTTAGTTTTGTATTGTTAGAGGACTAGCAATATTTAAGTTTGAGGGTGTAATGAGGGTTGAATATTGCACATGAGCCCTTAAAGTTGCATATCTTATTTCTTTAGTAATGATTATGTAGTAGTACTTATATCATTTACTTGATTTCAGTTATTTTCAGGTATTCTTCTTCAAATCTGGTCAATTCTACCTAATTCAAGGTTTTGAAGGTGTTTCCAAGGATCGGGAGGAGCAATGACATGTTAGGGGACGATTTTGGGCTTAAAATGATGAAAAAGTAAAATATACAAAGCTAGGATCAATCCTAGCTCCTCTAGGATCGATCCAAAACACCGCAACAATTTTCATACATGTGTTACAAGACCACAAATTCTTTGCTGGTGTGCCGCGGTACCAGCTGCTTAAAAGTGTGATAAAATGTGGCCAAATTTGAATTTATAGAATGCCACTACAACTACTAACTATTAATGTAACTAGAGTAAATAGGTATCGTCCCAAGGGAAAGGAAGGGTATTCTTGTGGAAACAATGTTGGATTAGTAGGTCGAATGATCAAAGATGGTTTGTTGGTTGAATTAGACTACAATTTAAACTAAATAAATGTAATGTAAAACAACTAAAGCAATATGAGGTGTAGAGAATATGAGAGAGGAGTCTTGGGTCATAGAGTTCGCCACTAAGCATTACCTTCCTAGACATTCAATATTTGATGGATTAGGGGGATTGTGTGTTGTTGATCGGTTGGTCAATTAACATCAACCTTCGCAATAGCACGAATCATTGTAAAATAGGGCTATTGGTCGGGTAAGTCGAACCACTGGGACTGCGCTAGTCTAAGGCAACCTAAGAGTCTAGAATTGTTCTTAGAATGATAAGGGGTAATAAGGGTTTGTTTGATTGGTTTGTCACTAAGCTAGTAATTGAAGTGCATAAAACAATAAATTGCAAGGAAATTAAAGGAGTGAGATACAAGTAGAAAAGACTAGGGAGATGAATCCACACTACACCCTGAGTACATGCTAGATTAAGGCTAAATTGGGGAAGTACAATGTATAAAATGGTCACGGAATATATAGCAACACTAGATTACCATATACCCTTAGAGAAGTTCATTAAATCATTAAACAAGAATAATCCCTCAAAAATTAATACATTTGAGCTACCTAAACTAAAGTGTAGCCTTCAACATACTCACTCAAGCAAGAACTATCAAGTTTGTAATCAAATGATAAAGCACATGAGGTAGGAAACTAGCATAACCCATCAAAGGAAGTTCCTAAGCAATGGACTATCCATTTTCTCTATCAACATGCCTTGAAAATTATTCATAATCCTATCTCCATTGTCACCATGAAGAAGCAAGCATTATGATTA